CATCCCTAGAGGTACTAGTGAGGTACCTCAGAGGCTCTCTTCCCATTGGCTTTGCTTCCATACCTCATCTTCACTTGCTTCATTCTCTCCCCTTATAGCCATAATCCTAATAGGGTTTGATTTATTCTTCAGGGAAACCTCTGGGTCAGAGTTCCTGCTTCCCAAGTATAGTCTATATTTGTTATTATATGTATTGTCAGTACCTATTCCTATAAATTTTGCCCTTTTCACTTGTGCTGTTACTAGATTCAAAGCATAGGCTTCAAAAATCAAATCATTTACCTCTACGCCATGGGAGGACGATTTATTTTCATTTTCCTTACAATGGCAATCCACTATTAAAACCATTAATAAGATTTAAAGATTATTTCGTTTTGCCATTTTTTTTTTGCTTTCCCTCTTATTCTCCTTAAACATCCTTCAAGCTAACCCTACAGGATAAATGAAACTTTGCATCCTATCCAACTGAGAGGGGTCTCTTCATATCCCTAACAAGGCTCTGGTCACAGGATTCTTCTAGGATCCTATATCTGACTGTCCAGTGGACCGTGGCTCCCTTTCTTCCTCACACCCTTCCCCCCACATTACCAGTGAATTTAACCACAAAATCTTTGTAAATAAAAACACCAACTACTCAGGGCTGTACAATGAAGTGCTTCAGGCTTGAAATTAGAATGGAAGGAGGGACTCTTGGGCCATAAAATGTAACAAAAGTAACTTGTGATGAGATTTTAAAAGATACAGTTCCCATGTAAATCCAAATAAAATGCTACTCTCTGTACCTACATAACCTTTGCATTTACTACAAGTCTGCAGCGCTGAATCAGAAAGGTGTCCCCCTGCAGGATGACTGGAATTTCCCCAGAACTTTTAGGGCACTAATTGCCTATATATTCTTCTCTTACCTCCAATCCATTCTAGCCATTACTGTCAATGACCATGTAATTCCTCTAATCAACCAACTCCAGTGGCTTCTTATTGCCTCTAGGATAAAATACACACTATTTTGTCTAGCTTTTAGAGCTCTATGGCACAGTAAACAGATTGCCAATCCTGGAATGAGGAGGACCTGAATTCAAATTCAGCCTCAGACCCTTAATAGCTATGTGACCCTGAGCAAGTCACTTAACCTGTTGGCCTCAGTTTCCTCATCTGTTAAATGAGCTGGAGAAGGAAATGGCAAACCATTCCTGTATCCTTGTCAAGAAAACCCGAAATGGGGTCACAGAGAGTGAAACACTACTGAAACAACTAAACAAAAACAAAACAACTTGCCTTTCCAGCTGCAACAGATACATGTTCTCCAATGTACTCCAACAACTTTAATCCAAAAAAATGGATATTATCTGTGTTCCTTACTCACAGAAAACTTCATCTTCATGGAGTCTCCCTGCCTTTGCTCCTGACCTTCATGCTTAGAATACATTCCCTTCTTACCTTTACCTCACTGAGTCCTTCTCTTCCTTTAAAGATGCAACACTATATTTTGCATGAAGCCTTTCCTAGTCCCTGTGATCACTAGTGTCCTCCCTCCCAAACTACCTTGTTTTTAACTACTTTGTATATGTTTATTAAATTTATATTTCTGCAGAATATTTTTATATGTATTTATTGGCTCCCCTCATTAGAATGTAAGCTCATAGCAACCAGAGATTATTTCATTCTTTGTACTTCAGCTTAATGCCTGCCTCATAGTAAGTTCTTAATACATTTTGATTGATTGATAGGCTGGAACTTTTATTCTTCAAGAGGCAGAGAAGACAATCCAATGATTCAAACCCTACTCCCCCAGTCAGCCAAAACTCAAGGACAATCTCCTTTCCCCCTTAAAGGGAAGCCAGTTAAGTTGACACGCCTACCACATATGGCTAAGAGGATAGTTCTTAACCAAGGGAGGGACAGAGAAAATCAGAAAAGACAAAACAGCTAGTTTTGGTTACATAAAATCAGAGGGCTTTTGCACCAATAAAATTAATGAATGTAGAATGAAAAGAGAATTGTAGGATGAAAGAAACACTTATTGTCAGTCATTGTTGTTAAACCTGATACCTCATGATATATAGGGAACTGACACAAATGCATGACATCAAGAGCCATTCTCTCATAGATAAGTGATCAAAGGATCTTAACATAGATTTCAAAAAAATTATAAACTATACGTGGCCATTTGGAAACATGTTACAAATCACTCATAGTCAAAGAAATGATTGGTTAATTTTGCCTTATAACATGCAATTTGGCAAAGTTGAGCAAAATTGGTCAATGTTAAAGGGGCTGTGGGAAGACAAGTATACTAAAACACTATTGGGGGAATTATGAATTGGTCATTCATAAATTTGGATTTATGCAAAAAAAAAAAAAGGAGGGGGCCTAACCTGGCCATACCTCTCAACCAGTGATCCTGCTACTGGATATGTACCAAGTAGTGAACTGGAGCCAGCTTGTACTAGCTCAAGACGGCCAATTGTTAAATTTGCAGTGTGAGCATTTATACCTCAGAAATCAGCAAACTGTAAAAATCAGGGCTTGGTTTATTGTTTTGTCGATTTTTAGACTGAAGAAAGTAATGGAAAAAATGTTAATAATGCAGATTAAATTTAAAAGTGCATTCTGGTGGATACTTTTGTCTTCCAGAAAGCCAGTTGTTAAACATTTATAAGCACGTCCCTGCATCTACCCCAAGGTAGTCAAAGCCAGAAACCAAGATCCAATATATGCCAAACTATTTGCAAACTCTTTATGGTAGGGAAGTAAACATGTAAACAAACCAAGTGTCTCTTGATTCAGGAGTTGTGGGGAAAAGGCTCTATAATATATTAATATAATGCAATAGTGATTTGCAGTTTAAAAATTATAAATATGAGAAATTCAGAGAAACATGGGAAAATTTATATAAGGTGATGCAGGATAAAATAAGTAAAACAAAAAAAACAAACCAGAACTTGTTCAGCCATTCCTCAGTTGATGGACATCCCCTCAATTTCCAGTTCTTTGCCACCACAAAAAAGAGCTGCTGTAAATGTTTTAGAACATACAGGTTCTTTTCCTTTTTCCCTGGTCACTTTGGGAAACAGACCTAATAATGGTATCGCTGGGTCAAAGGGTATGCACAGTTTTAATAACTCTTTGGGTGTAATTCCACCTTGCTTTTCAAAATGGATCAATTCACAGTCCCACCTACACTGTATTGGTATCCCAATTTTTCCACATCCCCTCCAATATGTCATTTTCCCCTTCTGTCATTTTAGCCAATCTTATAGGTATGAGATGATATCTCAAAGTTGTTTTAATTTGCATTTCTGTAATTCAATAATGATTAAAAGTATTTTTATATGACTAAATATGTGTGTATATATGCATATATATATATACACATATATATATTTTTTTGATTTCTTTATTTAAAAACTGCCTGTTTTTATCCTTTGACCATTTATCAATTGGGGAATAACTCATATTCATATAAATTTGACAAAGTTCTCTATATATTTAAAATATGAGACCTTTATCCAAGAAACTGTCTATAATTTTTTTCCTCCATTTTCTGCTTTCTTTCTAATTTTGGCTACATTGGTTTTATTTGTATAAAACCATTTTAATATGATCAGAGCTATCCATTTTATATCTCACAATGCTCTCTAATTCTTGTTTATTCATAAATTCTTCTCTTATTCATAAATGTGATAGGTAATGTGTTCCATATTCTTCTAATTTGCTTATGATATCTCCCTTTATGTCTAGATCTAGATTTCACCTTATCCTAGTAAGTAATGTGAGACATTGGTCTATACTCAGTTTCTGCCATATTGCTTTCCAGTTTTCCCGACAATTTTTACCAGTGAATTATTATCCCAGAACTTAAATCTTTAACTTTGTCAGATACAAGGTCACTATAATCACTTACTACTGTGTCTTGTATGTCTACTTCTGCTGATCCACCTTTCTGTTTCTTAGCCAGTACCAGATAGTTTTGATAATTACTGCTTTCTAAAATAGTTTAAGAGCTGGTACTGCTAAACCTCCTTCCTTTACTTTTTTTTTCCATTAATTCCTTTGATATTCTTGACCGTTTGTTCTTCTAAATAAATTTTGTATTCTTCTAGCTCAATAAAATACTTTTTGGTAGTTTAATTGGAATGACATTAAATAAGAACATTAGTTGAGGCAGAATTGTCATTTTTGTTATATTCCATATGCTTTTAAATGTCTGTCCAAGGACCCATGCTATAAATTCCTGCCCAAGTTTAATTCCTGGAAAGTAATATTGCTGATGTGTGCTTTCTCTTATTAAAGAGCAAAAATTAAGTCACAGATATCTTTCCCTTAGAAATCAAAAAACCTAGAACCAAATTTATTGTGCACATATTGCCAGTCTACTCAGTTATGAAACCTGAACGCATCTATTTCTTCTTTCTTTAGATGGCCTCCTGTTTTGCCTTTGAATACGTTAAGTTGCATTGTTTTAATATCATATCAAGATCTTTTGGAAATAGGTAGAGTGAAAATCCTGCATAAATATGCTGTGTACTGCCTCTTTTTTTTTTTACTCATTCATGACTAGTGATATTTCAAGAAAGAACTTTCATGAAAGATATTTCATGCTAAAGAATGAAAAAATGCCATTCTTTTTACCAATGGGTTAATAATTAGCTGTGTTAGACAAGTTCCTTTGTGTGTACCTCAACATAAATATTACTATATATCCCAATATTACTGCAGTCACAATACACACATCCCTGCCTTCTTCAGTCTGCCCAGTTTTCCATGATGATGTTTTGATCTTTAAATAAAGATCTTTGATTAGGAGTTTGAGTTGTAAGAGAGAATGGGCTTGTAGGTCTAATCGTGTTCTTGTTAAGCATTGTTAGAGTTTAACTTAAAGCCTTTACCAGTAGCAGAGAAGTGCTATAGTTTGTCTACGATGCTTGCACAGTCTACAATTCTGTAGCAAGATGAACATAGATTTATGAATTCTAATTCTGTTCTTCACTCATTTTCAGCATCATCAAATAGGATTATTGAAAGAATATTTTCTGGAGCAGTGACAAGGTAAGATAATACTTCAGGGATTTCATTAAGCACTTTACAAATTCTTGTTGACCGAACTGTAAGTTTGGGAAAGAATAAAGTGGCAGTAGTCAGAACTGTAACAGCCATTCAATAGTCATAGTGCCATGTTGTGAGGAAAAGTATCCCACTTCCTTTCTTATCAATATTTTCCAAGATAGAATATTGGACTATATTTCTTTAGATTTCTTTAAATATGTTAAGCAATAAATTTTAAAATTCATAGGGAAATTTTCATTATTCTTAATGTTGAGTCTCTTTGCTCCCTATATTTCCTTCCCTGCCTGACTTACTTTACCTATTCAACATCTGAAATTTAAAATTTTTTAATTTTATTAAAGAAAAAAGCATCACTTAAATAGTAAACTGCTAATAATGGAAAAAGGACCTCATTATAACAGGGTCCATAACTATGGCTCAATTCATGTCCAAAAATATTTATCATAAATACCTAATGAAAACAGATATCCTATAATTTATGTTTCAGTTCTATCCAGGGTTCAATCAACAGTTGACAAACATTTATTAAGTGTCTACTCTGTGCCAGACACCATGCTAGGGCCTGGGAATACAAAGTTGAAACAGTCCCTACTCTCAAGCTGGCATTTAATAAGAGGGTAATGTAGGAGAGAAACAACGTATACACATAACACAATAGAGAAACTATGTTCAAAATAAAAACAAGATTATTTGTCGGGGGAATGGACTTGAACCTGGAGAAATCAGGAAAGGCTTCATATAGAAGGTGAGCTTAGCTTTTAAGGAAGCTAGATTTCTAAGAGGTAGAGGTGACAAGGAAGCACTTTCCATGACTAGGAGGCAGCTATTGCAAAGGCATGCAGTTGGGAGATGTTGTGCCACGTGTGAAGAACCAAAACCACCCATAAACTTATGTAATATGGATAAGACAAGAAAAGTAGATTAGGCCAAATTATGATTTTAAATGCCAAAATGAAGAATTTATAACTGAGGTCATAGAGATTTGTTGTTGTTCAGTCATTTTCTGTTGTATCTGATGCTTCCTGACCCCTTTTGGGGTTATCTTGGCAAAGATATTGGAGTGGTTTGCCATTTCCTTCTCCAGCTCATTTTACAGATGAGGAAACTGAGGCAAACAGAGTTAAATAACTTTCCCAGGGTCACACAGCTAGTAAATGTCTGAAGGCAGATTTGAACTCAGGAAGACAACTCTTCCTGACTCCAAGCTCAGCACTCTATCCACTGCGCCACCCAGTTCCCCTCGCTACTTCCTAAACTACTTTGTATTTAACTATTTTTTATATATTTCTGTTCAACTTTATATTTAGGCTATATTTTTTCAATCAATAAACAAGCATTTATTAAGCACCTTCTATATATCAGATATTGTACTGGGAACTGGAAATATAAAGACTATAATAATAGTCCCTGCCTTCAAGAAGCTTCCATTCTGGGCTATATATATTTTTATAAACATTTATTGCCTCTCCCATTGGAATGTAGATTTACTGTAGGAAGGAACTGTTTATTTGCACTTATATCCCCAATGCCTGGCATAGTACTGGTTACATAGTAGATGCTTAATAGATACTTGTTGATTGACAGTGAGACTAGGCCTGCATATGTAGACTTAGCAATCTTTAGCATAAAGATGAGAATTAAACCCATGTAAGCTGATGAGGTCACTGTTAGTTTAGAGAATGAAGGAAAAAGGGTACACAGTTGAGGTTTATAATCTGAATGATCATCCATCAGAGACCAAGGAGTGAATGGATAGGAATAAGGAAAAGAGAGAGTATTGCCACGAAGAGCCATGGAAGAGAGAGCATCCAGCAGAGCTCTGCTCTACACAGAAATGAGAGTAGCTCATCTGAAAGGGGCCATCGAAAGAAGTGTTGCTGCCTATTGTCTTTATTTTCTCTTAGTTATCTTGGTGGCTTCCTTATCAACGTATTCCTAAAGGTACTTTTCTTTTTTGAAACTCTGGAACCATTGCTCTTAAGCTTCACAACTTAAAAAGGACATGAGAGTCTGGTTAACTACAGTGGGCTAATCTTCCCTTTGGAATATTTAAAGAGCTGCAGTTATGGTCAGCCTCTTTCTAAGCCAGTTCACTATACTCTTTTCCATAGATGATTTTTGTTAACAAGAAGCACTATGTAAGAAAGTAAGAAGGGCTAAGTAGTGACCCAACCCCCTTGCTCAAATTCAATTTTTAAAAAAAATTCCTTTACAGAATCTGAGTTAAAAGCTGTTGCAGAGGCTGACCAAGATGGATGGTAAATGGCCATCCAGCGTCCACTTCAAATCTCCAGTGAGAGTGAACCAAATTGTTTGAGGTAGCCCCTTCCCATATGGACAGCTTTGTTAAATATCCTTGTAACCTATGGCCCAGAACCCCCAAAACCGCACTCATATGGACCAGCTTCATCCTAGGGGCCCACTCCAAAGACATTTTCTTTCTTTGTACTAGCATTCAAGGTACCAAATGCATATTGAGTTAAGCAGCCTTTATCTCACCCCACAGAAAATGCAAAAGAAAGAGAGGGAAGGAGGAAGGAAAGAAGTAGTGGTCTATTCTGCATACCATTTGGCTCTAAAATGAAGATTAATTTTTCTTTAGAATTTAATATTTGCTAATGCCTATGAGTCTTAATTTCTAAGTCTTAGCAAATAGGTTAAACCACTCATTGGAACATTAACCTAAAGTATATCCATTTTGCTAATTTAAATGTTCCTGAAACAGAATTACAGACCTTCCACAGAAAAATGTTACTGTGACTCCTGAATGTCATCCCACTGAATTTATCTAAGATACTGCCTTGAAAATTTCACTTACATATCTTTTTTAGGGGGAATGTTGTGCAAAAAGAGGGAAGAATGAGCTATGCAGATTTTGTATGGTTTCTGATCTCTGAAGAAGACAAAAGAAATCTGACAAGGTATGATTTCTAAGTTACCATTCTGGGCTACCTTATTGTGCTTAACACAGTTTTAGAGTTGAAACTTGCTGAAACACTGTATTTGAAGTTACTTGAAAGAGAAACAAAACAATATAGCAATATAGATATGACATAATTTTATAGTATTTGACTACCCATCCTAATAAGAAACTAATCAAAAACATTTCTACAGAGACCATTCACTTGCATAGGGAATTGGGTATGAAAGAATGAAAAGGCATTTGTAAAGTAGTTGCTTTGTGCTAAGTACTTTGCTAGGGCTACAAGTACAAAGTGAGAGAATTATTGCCTTCAAGGAACTTGTAATAAGAGAGAACAAAACATAACAGAATAATAGTGAGAGTGGGAGGTTTGGTTTGGGATGTCAGGGGATTATGATAGGGGACTTAATTGGCACATTCTTTGCATTAGCAAGGTCAGTATTGTTTTGATTACAGTTCCAAATCCAGAAAGGGGTGTGAGGGATGTTAGGAGAGATGTCAAAGTCTACTGATCTAGTGGGGTGCAGAGGCAGGTAACATGGATAGCCTAAAATAATGGTCCAAGTGGACTGTGAATTATAGCTGGGGCTAGCTAGCTAGAGGAGGGCACATGAGGAATTCACCAATCACAACCCCCGAGGCCCCAGGGTAAGAGATTCAAAACTGAGAGGATCAAGTCTCCCAAGAAGGGACAGCGGCAGATGGCAGAGTCTAGTGATCCAGAGATAGAGCAAATGAAAAGAAAGTGGCTGGTCTGGAAACAGAATAATGTATAATGCAGATTTTATTTCTTTTACAATGTATATAGATCCTATTTTTGCCTATATTATATAAAAACAAAGCACAGTTTTAAACATCTTTAAAAGCAATATCCTGTAAAAGGCCATAAAATGCCATTATTCCATGAAAGTAGACCTTTTTCTCTACAAAAACATGTATATTAATTACTTTTATACTTATTACTCTCAACTAGAAATGAAATGAGGGTTTTAAAACATTTATGCTTTCCAGATTTAAAATAGGAATTTAAATCTTTTAAATAGTTACATAAAACTGAATAATGTACTTCATAATTTTGTATTTTTAAGTTGCCTACTCATAATATTAAAACATTTTAATTTACTCTTTTAAAAGCTAAATTAAGTTGCTTTTTACTTACATGATTCTCAATTAATTGTTTTTCCTATGGAACACTGTCCCTTGCTTAAAAGATTCCCAATCCCTGCATTATAATTTTGTGTGTGCAGAAATATAAATAAATTAACAAAGAACATTGAGTACTTCAGAAATTGATGCTATAAAGTAGTATATTTTATATTACAATTTTTTTTTATTTACTAGCATTGAATATTGGTTCCGCTGTATGGATTTGGATGGCGATGGTGTGCTCTCCATGTATGAACTTGAACATTTCTATGAAGAACAGTGTGAAAGAATGGAAGCCATGGGTATTGAACCATTGCCATTCCATGACTTGCTCTGCCAGATGCTTGACCTGGTGAAGCCAGAACTTGATGGTAATACCAATTTATTGTACACCCTGTCCATTTACAGTTTTAACTATTAATGACAGATTTTATATAATCTTTTAAATTCTCAAAATGCTTTATATACATTATTACATTTAAGCTTTACAACAGTCTTAAAAGGTAAATAGCACAAATTGTTTTGCAGATGAGGGAACTGGGGCTTGGAAAAGCTAAATCATGGGTTCAGTTTACACTCGAGTAAAGCAAAAATCCAAATTTACGTCTTGTGATTTTGAACCTGTCGTTCTTTCTACTACACCAAATTTTATAGAACGTCTGTGTTGAACGTCATAACCCAAAATGACCCTAAACTGTTTAACTCCTCAAATTCTTCCTTAAAATATAAGTTTATTGAGGGCAGAGGTCTTTCATGTATTCTTTACCAAAGATAGCATTTCTAATACAATGTAAGTATGAACTAAAGCATTTGTAATAAATGTTCTGTCAGGAAAAATGGATTTTTATAACAATAAAACACGTACATATTGTTTTTAAACTGGACAAATTTTTTTTTCACTTGATAAGCGTTTGATGATATTACAGACTTTGCTCTTTATGCAGGCAAAATAACTCTCAGAGACCTGAAGAGATGCAGAATGGCTCATATTTTTTATGACACCTTCTTTAATCTGGAGAAATACCTGGACCATGAACAGAGAGATCCCTTTGCAGTGCAAAAGGTATCATTGTAATTTAATATTATTGCATCCAGCAATGTGATATAAGATCACAGGACCATATATTTAGGGCTGGAAAGTACCTTAGAGTCACATTATATAATTTTTCTTTGCCCCAAAAAGCCTATATTCTTTTTTAAAATAATTTTATTTTTGTTATTCTGAACTTGACTATATGCCTACAAGAACAGGAAAAGAGGACTATGTGTAAAACCAAAATTCTCTTACATACAGTTTGGGTTTATATACATAATAAATTCAACACATTAGTTTCAAAACTATCCTGACAAGCCTCTTCTTAAAAGAAGCAGCATATCATATCATAGCATTACATATCAACACACAGATTGAAAGCTCGGGTGAGGTCAGATAGGTGGAGGTGGAAGGTCCAAGTAAAATATCTGTCATGACAGCAAGCCCACATGTATTTAACTTAACTTATGAACAAGTTGCTTCAAAAAGAGATTTAGAAAAACTACCCTTCATAATAAATTGTTTTTCATATCTATAGGCTTATCAAAGAATTTTAGAGCTTATAATCCATCTAGTCAACAACTTTGGGGACCACTACATGGCACAATGGATAGAGCACCAGCCCCAAAGTCAGGAGGACCTGAGTTCAAATCTGGCCTCAGACCAAACACTTGATACTTACTAGATGTGTGACCCTGGGCAAGTCACAATCCCAATTGCCTAAAAAGAAAAAAAAAGAAAAACAAAACAAAACAACCCATCATACAGAAAATGAAGCTACGGGAAACAATTTGTCCATGATCACGCAACTGGTAATTGACAAAGGCACAAAACTAGACACTCATTCAGTATTCTTTCCACTACACCATGAAGCTAAAAAGTCAAATCACAACCATGAGTGTCATAGAATTCTGAGGTCTTTCAGACAAGTTTTACATTCTCTACAAATTTTATACCTTTGGAGATGCTAAAAACAGCATAAAAATAGATATTATTATGTCCAGATGACGAGCATCCTTCATAATTGAAAAAAATTATGAAAAAACAATTGAGTCAAGTTGTGAAAATAACTCAGCACATTCAAGTACCACACTAGTACATCACTGTAGTGTGGAGATAACCCTGGGTATACTAGTGGAATGCATTCTTTGGCAGTTTCTACCACACTAGAAAAGGTTTGAATGTTGAGTCCAATGATAAAATATGTCTGCTGTCCCAGGAAGAGCTATTGATGAAGTACCGAGAAGCTCATCATCAGAAGGTTGGCCACCAAAGAGGATGTTTTTGGCTTTTTGGCCACAGTAATCCATGAAATTTAAAATGTGAAAAAGACTCAGTCCATTATAAGCTCCTTCTTCCACACTGGCAGGGTAATGGCAGGGCCACAAATGGCAGGGGAAAGAGGGCACCAAGAATTACAATTTTTAGACTCCATGTAAAAATGTAACCTTTGTCCAACAATCAACAAATTTACATAATCCTGAAAGAAGACAGTCATATCCTTAATACATATCCTTGTAATAAATGAAAGTAGAAGACGTATGTCTAATGTTGGAACTACATGGAAGGGTGGCTAAAAGGTTCTCACCAAAAATTCAAATAAAAGAGTTGTCAGAGTTGGTTTTGTTCTGTACTAAAATGGAAGAAAATGATCATTTGATGAAACACGGGCTCATCTCACCTTATAGTACTCACAGTGATTATAGGGAAACTGAAGCAAACTGCTTATGAATATAAGAAAGTCCATGTATGAACATTCATTGCAAAGGTTGGAGAACTCGAGAAACTCTATGAAGAATCTTTCAGACTTAGTTGTCAAATATTAAATTATCAAAAGGACTAAAGATAAGACAACATATGTAATTAGAGCATTTCCAGCCCAACTTATTAAAACAACCTGAGTATATGAACTAACAGTTCTTAAAAGAATTGCAAACTATTAACAACTATATAAAAGAATGCTCCAAATCACTAACAAAATGCAAATTAAGGTAACTTGGAGGGGCAGGTAGGTGGTGCATCAGAAAGAGTACCAGCCCTGAAGTCAGGAGTAGCTGAGTACAAATCTGGCCTCAGACCAAACACTTGACACTTACCAGCTATGTGACCCTGGGCAAGTCACTTAACCCTAATTGCCTAAAATTTTTAAAAAGGCAAAAAAAAAAAGATGGAAAATTTTCTTTCTTTTTTATTATGAAGTTAACAGTCATCAACAAATATATTTCCACATACAGAAAAGAACAAGGGGTTGGTTTGTGTTAGACCCTTTGAATTTTCATGTACAGTTGTTTTTTTTAAGAATCATGCTGGACATTATTCTTTTGTTAATGTAACAGCCTTGGTTTTTTTGGTTGTCACCTGTCATTACATTACTAAAATCCCATAAGCTCTTTTTACATGAACTATCATCTAGCCAAATTTCAACCATCCTATATTTGTACAGTAGTTTGTTGGGTTTTTTGGGGGGGAGGGGGGAGTTTGAATCCCAGATGTAGGATTTTACATTTATTAAATATAACCTTACTAGATTTAACTCATTGTTCCAATCTGTCATCCACTGTAATCATTGTCCTCACCTCTAGTTTTGTGCTATTTGCAGATTTGATAACCATGCTATATAAAATCTTTATTCAATTGAATGAAACAACCCTTCAGCACTCCACTAAAGACCATCCTTCATATTTACCCCTTTAAATCAATTACCATTCCTGGGGTAGTCATTGATACTCTAGACCTACCTAACTGGACTTCTACCCCACCCACAATTCTCCATCTTAACTCAATCTAGCTGAATCAGCTATTTCCCTCCAGTGATACAGTCATCACATCAAATATTTTTTATCAAGTACCACTTACTACACAGTATTTTACAAGTTAATGAAATCAAGAGGAATTACTGGAGAGAACTAACTAAACATAAAAGAAAGACATCCAGTCCCTCAAGATCTAATTATGGTAATAAGCTATTTTTAGAATAAAAATATTTGTACAGAAGTACAGAGAAATCTGTTGTGTGAATCCAGCCAAAGCTGGATTAAAAGTGATCAAAAATTAAGAATTCCTTCACAGGATAATTCAGTACCTTGATGGATCCATGATTTCACTGATGTGATACTCGCTGCAAAACTCTAAATTACAGTCTCCCCAAGCATTCTCATCCTTTTAAGATTCTTACACACAGCCTTCTGGAAATTTCCACAGGGCATCAAATCAGTAGCAGAAAGGGAACCTTCTTCTGTATCTCTTGACTTTGCATGGATTTATGTAGTTCACAAGCTATTCATAGGGTTTTTTTTTAAATATAAATTTATTTATTTTTAGTTTTCAACATTCACTTCCACAAGTTTTTGAGTTACAAATTTTCGCCCCATCTCCCCCCACCCCAAGATGTCATGCATTCTGAATATCCCTTCCCCTAGTCTGTCCTCTCTTCTATCTCTCCCTCCCCCCTTCTCTTATCCCCTTCCCCTTCTATTTTCTTGTAGAGCAGGATAGACTTCTGTACCCCATCTCCTGTATTTCTTATTTCCCAGAATTATGTGAAAACATTTTTTTAAACATGTTTTTAAAACTTTAGGTTTCAAATTTTTTCTCTTCCTCCCTCCCCCACCCACCCTCATTGAAAAGGCAAACAACTCAATATAAGTTATACATGTGCAGTTATGCAAACATGTCCATAGTAGACCTGTTGTGAAAAACTAACTCTGTTTCCCTTAATCCTATCCTGCCCTCCCATTTATTCTATTCTTTCTTTTGGTCGTGTCCCTACTCAGAAGTATTTCCTTCTGATTACCTCCTTTCCCAATCTGCCCTCCTCTCTATCATCCCCCTGCTCTCTTGTCCCCTTCTCCCCTTATTTTCCTGTAGGGTAAGACAGATTTCCATACCCAATTGAATGTGTATGTTATTCCTTCCTTAAACCAAATCCTATGAGAATAAGATTCACTCATTCCCTCTCACCTTCCCCTGTTCCCCTCCACTGTAAGAGACTTTTCTGTTTTTTTTGTGAGATAATTTACCCCATTCTACCTCTCCCTTTCTTCTTCTCGAGTATCATCCTCTGTCATCCCTTAATTTTATTCTCCAGGTATGACCCCATAATCTTCAACTCACCCTGTGCCCTCTATCTATCTATCTATATATACATACATATAATTTTTTCCCTTCAACTACCCTAATACTGACAAAGATCATCTTTCCATGCAGGAATGTAAACAATTCAATCTTAATAAGTCTCTTATGATTTCTCTTTCCTGTTTACCTCTTCATGTTCCACTTGAGTCATGTATTTGAAAGTCAAATTTTCTATTCAGCTCTGGTCTTTTCATCAGGAATGCTTGAAAGTCCTCTGTTTCACTGAATGACCATTTTTCCCCCTGAAGGATTATACTCAGTTTTGCTGGGTAGTTGATTCTTGGTTGTAATCCTATCTCCTTTGCCCTCCGGAATATTATATTCCATGCCCTGCGGTCCTTTAATGTAGATGCTGCTAAATCTTGTGTTATCCTGATTGTGTTTCCACAGTACTTGAATTGTTTCCTTCTGGCAGTTTGTAATATTTTCTCCTTGACCTGAGAACTCTGGAATTTGGCTACAATATTCCTAGGAGTTTTCTTTTGGGGATCTCTTTCAGGAGGAGATCTATGGATTCTTTCAATTTCTATTTTGCCCTCTGGTTCTATATCAGGGCAGTTTTCCTTGATAATTTCTTGAAAGATGATGTCTAGGCTCTTTTTTTGATCATGGCTTTCAGATAGTCCAATAATTTTTAAATTCTCTCTCCTGGATCTATTTTCCAGGTCAGTTGTTTTTCCAATGAGATATTTCACATTGTTTTCTAATTTTTCATTCTTTTGGATTTGTTTTACAGTGTCTTGATTTCTCATAAAGTCACTATCTTCCAATTGCTCTATTCTAATTTTTAAGGAAGTATTTTCTTCAGTAAGCTTTTGGACTTCCTTTTCCATTTGGCCAATTTTTCTTTTTAGGGCATTTTTCTCCTCATTGGCTTTTTGGACCTCTTTTGCCATTTGGGTTAGGCTATTTTTTAAGGTGTTATTTTCTTCAGTATTTTTTTGGGTCTCCTTTAGCAAGCTGTTGACTTGTTTTTCATGATTTTCTTGCATCACTCTCATTTCTCTTCCCAGTTTTTCCTCTACTTCCCTTACTTGCTTCTCAAAATCCCTTTTGAGCTCTTCCAAGGCCTGGACTGATTCATATTTTTCTTGGAGGCTTTGGATGTAGGAGCTTTGACTTTGTTGTCTTCTTCTGGTTGTATATTTTGATCTTCTTTTCACCAAAGTAAGATAATATAGTCTGACTCTTTTTGCTCTGCTTGCTCATGATCCCGGCTGATTACTTGAGTTTTAAACTCTTTGTTAAGGTAAGAGTCTGCTTCCAATGTGGAGAGTGTACTGTCCCAAGCTTCAGGGGTTTGTACAGCTGTTTTCAGAGATACTTGTAGGGACCTGTAAATTTTCAGTTCTTCCAAGGTGGTATGATAAGGGGTGAGGTGTTTACTCCTTTCCTGGCCTGTGACCACAAGTACTCCTTTCTGTCCTGTAACTGTGAGGAGGGGTTCCTCTCCACAGCCACTACAAGCTCCACCAAGCCAGTGCTCCTCCTCACCCCAGCACCGCCACCCAGAACTGGGACCCAGATCCGAACACAGGCAAAGCAAGAGATTCCTGCCTCAGCACTGGCAAAGAGATCCCTGCAATCCCTCTCTGATCAGCCACTGGATTCCCCCTCAGTCTGTGGGACGAAGCTCGGGAAGCAGCTGCCCCACCCAGGGCCATGCTCTTGGGGAATGGAGCTGAAACCCCACCTTCCTCTCTCAGCACCAACAGAAACAGACTTTTTCCACTGACCTTCTAAGTTGTCTTTGGCATTAGTGGGTTGAGGAGTCTGGAAACCTCCACAGCTGCCCGCGATTCAGTCCTCTGAGGCCTGCTTCAGGTTCACTGCGGCTTGTGCCGCGCTGCACTCCCAGCCCAGCCTGGCGTGATACACCTTTCTGATCAATCATCCAGGTTGTCTTGGGCTGGAAGTTTGTTTCCCTCTGTCTTTTTGTGGGTTCTACTGCTTCAGAATTTGTTTAGAGCCATTTTTTATGAGTATTTGGAGGGGTTTGGGGGAGAGCTCAAGCAAGTCACTGCTTTCACTCCTCCATCTTGGCTCCACCCCTCTATTCATAGGTTATATCCCTAATTCTTTTATGTGACCAACTTCATTTCCATTCACACATTTCTGATATATCTATAAAGCTTCTTCTACAAAGTTCTTCGTTGCCAGTATTTTGAAGCCTGCTTTCATCCATCATGTATCTTTCCATTACTCTTTAGGTCACCTGCATCATCCTTTGGAGACTTTGGTTTTCTATGACTTTTAGCCATGCAGCATTACTAGATAATATACAGATATTTAAAAAGATGAAATTTGTTTCAGAAAGGAGCCTGGAGTCATTAAAAATAACTCTCTTGCCTACTCTTTGACTTAGATAGCTGTGAGGAAGCAGACTACTTTCAAAATTAACATTTTGCAGATTTATTTGGTGAACATAAAGGAAGGTTATTGCCAGTTTAACAAAAGTCATACACATTAAAGGTTTTGCTTTACCATTGCATGGCCAGCATTTTAGCATTAGGCCTTCCAAAATACAAATTCAACCCTGCGAAAGTGTTGAATAACGTTCAGTGATTTTGAGAAATTAATTATAAGGAGATGTTTCAGTTGGTGAGAAACACAACACACTTCTACTGTCATGGTTTGGTGAGAGGTATTTTTATCCTTTTTCCAATCTCTTTATTTGTGTAATCCATTGTTTTCAAGTTTTGCTTTCTCTCAGCTGAGGAACATGAGTACAACCACATTATCTTCCAATACATATCTTAGTTTCAACATGGACACTTTATCTAAAATTTATTTCATTTATTTTGTCTCTTTTCTTTTTAATCAGGATGTTGAGAATGATAGCCCTGAACCTTCTGATTGGGACAGATATGCTGCTGAGGAATATGAAATTCTTGTTGCAGAGGAATCTGCTAATGAGCAGTTACAAGAAGGGTAGGTGGGATTCTCCCTAATGTTTCAGAATTTTTCAGCTATTCCTCAAAATGTGACCTCATAACAACTCCTACATAGCTATGGCCTTCTAGAGATGCAGGGCATGCAAAATGTTTGGGGAGGCTATCTGGATGGCAAGGAAGTATAGGTAGCGAAGTCAAGAAGCATTTATTAAGCTTCTCCTCTGTAAAGCATAGCCTGAAGTAGAAAGCCCTGTTTCGCCTTTTTTGCTGTATTTCCTCTTAGAAAACCAACCAGAATCTGAGGCTCCCCCAGGACTAAGAGAATTCCCTCCCACCCTTCCTTACCCCTGAGGCTTTTACTAATCCTCTGTCCATACTAAATTTTGGCAAAGATATTATAAGCTTAGATTTATGTAGCAGCAAAGAACATTCACCCTTCTCTGCTCTAATTAGGTTTTATGACTGTTATCAGAATAATGTGAATACTCTGAAATCTCCATTGTACCGTTAACAAATTTCCTGTGGGTTTAGACCATTTCCTAGGGTCTTCTCCTTAACATTTTCTCCCTTCTACTATGTCTCTGTCTTCTTTGCACAATCATTTGCATGTTGTCTCCCCTTTTAGACTATAAATGCTTTGAATGCAGGAACTATTTTTTTTTTTGCCTTTCTTTGTATCTCCAGCACTTAGCACAGTGCCTGGCACATAGTAAGCCCTTAATAAATGCCTGTGGCCTTGACTTACTCTAATACTTAATCCCTCCAGGCACTCAATTCACTACATAATTTGTTTTATCTTACCTGAACTGGGAACTCACTGCTACAAGCAGTTCTTTTATTCTTTCCTGATTAATTTTTCCACTATCTCCTCCTGGATGCCCTCCCTTAGACTGTCCTGGACCATCTGTTCTATATTCTCTTTCTTGGTGATCCTGTCAGTTCTTATAGGTTCATCTCCATACAAATGATATAATTTCTCTCTTCATATATATGTGTATACACACAGACACAGACACACACAGAGATATGTAATCATTTGTAGAGTACAGAATTATGTGTGTATGGCAGCTAAATGGCACAGTGGATAGAGCACAGGAAGACCTGTGGAGTCAGGAAGACCTAAGTTCAAATCTGACCTCAGATAACTTACTTAACTATGTGACCGTGGGCAAATCATTGAACCCTGTTTGCCTCAGTTTCCTCATCTGTAAAATGAGCTGGAGAAAGAAACAGCAAAATACTCTAGTATCTTTGTCAAGAAAAACCTCAAATGGGGTCACAAAGAATTGGACAGAACTGAAATGACTGAACTATACATATACATATATATATACACACACATTTTTATATATACATATACCACATACACACGTATGTATATGTATACAAATGTATGTGTGTACGTATACCCCTAATAATTTTCCAGGCATACAGTCCCAGATCACCAAATGCCTACTACAGAGCTTCACCTGGATGTTTCTTAAGTACTTCAAACTCAACATTACCAAAATGGAACTCATTATCTCATGTCCCAAATTTACCTCCTCCAGATTTCCTTATTTCTATTATGGGCAATATCACCCATCCTTCTGGTTATCAACGTCTGTGACATTTCTGATTCCTCTTCTTCATGCTACATACCCATTCAGTAGACAGTGATATCATTTCTGTTTTCACAACATAATCTGTCCTCTTCTCTCCACTCAGTCACCACCCTAATTCACCTTTCACCTTTTTTTTTGGGGGGGGGAGCTAGGCAGTGGAGTTAAGTGACTTGCCCAGGGTCACACAGCTAGTAAGTGTTATGTATCTGAGGCAAGATTTGAACTCAGGTCCTCCTGAATCCAGGGCTGGTACTCTATCCACTGTGCCACTTAGCTGCCCCTTTCACATTTATTTTTGTAAAAGCCTAAGTAGCTTCCCATATTCTAGACTCTCCCTTTCCCATTCCATCCTCCACAAAGCTGACAAACTGATATTCTAGTCTATTTCAACCCTTGTTCAAGGTTTCCAATGTCTCCAAATTGTCTGTAGGCTAAAATATGAATGCTTCTGTTCGGCATATAAAGATTATCACAACCTGCCTCCTTTCTATCTTTCCAGACTTATTTCACATTCTTCCCCTTAATTCATCCTATATTCCAAACAAACTGACATACATGCTTTCCCCCAAACTTACTGTTTCATCTCCCACCTCCATATGTTTGCCCAGGTTGTCTCCCATGTCAGAAATGTACTTCCTTCTTATCTTCACCTCTTAGAATCCTTAGTAACAGCACTTAGCATTGTGCCTGATACATAGTAAGTGCTATATAAATGCTAACCATTTATTATTGTTACTAGTTTTAATCTCAGAATTTCTTAGCTAGGAACTTGGGAATGAAAGAGTGCTGGTCTTACAATAAGAAGACTTGAGTCTTGACTTCCCACACTTACTGTGTGTGACCTTGTTCATCAGTCACTTAACCTTCTCTGGGTGTCAATTTCCTAATTAATAAAATATGGATAATACCAAAAAAAAAAAAGAATCCTTAGTTACTTTCGTGTCTCAGTTCAGTGCTGCTTCATAGAGGCACCTTTCCTAAACCTCTGAGTTGTTAGTGATTCCTCAATCAACATGTATTCATGTTGATAATCATCTACTTCCTATGTGCCAGATACTGTGCTTAGGATACAAATACAAAGAATGAAGCATTCCCTACTCACACTGAAGCTTACATTCTAATGGGGGAAACGACAAATGGGTATAAAAATATATGACCTAAATATAGTCAAAAATGCAAATGTATGCAAAGTAGTTAAATACAACAAATGGATATAAAAATATATAATCTAAATACAAAATAAAAATGCAAATATATATACAAAATAGTTAACAAATGGATATAAAAATATATAATCTAAACATGAAGTGAAAAATGCAAGTGTATACAAAGTAGTTAAATACAGTAGTTTGGGAGAGAGAATAAACAGATGGAAGAATGGGAAAGGCTTAATGCAGAAGATGGCATTTGAGCTATTCCTTAAACTCTGTGAAGAAAAGGACTGTGCGGTAGAGATAAAAGAGTACATTCCAGTCATGGAAACCAAATGGGAGATGGAGTATTGTGTGTGAGGAAGAGAAAGGCCAGTTTGGTTGCATTATAGCACAGAAATAATATCCAATGAGGCTGGAAAGATAGGCTTTAAAAGCTAAACAGAAGTTTATGTTTTATCCTATATGCAAAAGGAAGCCACTGGAGTTTAAGTAAGAGTCATGGGCACAATTGTGCCTAAGGACAGTTACTTTGGCAGCATTGTGTAGGTAGGCTAGAGCAAGAAAAGATTTTTGACACCAGTTAGGAGGCTGCTGCAATTATCTAGGCAAGAGGTGGTGAGGACCTACATTAAGGTGACAGATGATGAGTGGACAGAACAGGATATCTTGGATGCAAGATATGTTGTAGAAGTAGAAATCGCAAGATTTAGAAACAGATTGGATAGGAGATAAGCGAGTGTGATTAGTCTAGGAAAATTTTTAAGACTACAAACTTGAGACACTGGAATGATGACTAATTCAACCAAAACTTACTAACAGTCTCTTAAGTACTATCTAATGCATTGCCTTTTCTCAATCCTCATCCTTCTTGATTCAGCCTCTCCGTAGCCTTTGACACTGTTCTCCTCCAGCTGGTCAAACCATCCCTTCTTAATCTCCTTTGCTGGATCTTCATCCTAGGCACGTTGATGAGTGTGCCTCAGGGCTTTCTTTTGGGCTTTCTCATCCTAAATTATTTTACTTGGTTATCTCGTCAGCTCCCATGGATTCAGTTATCATCTTTCTGTGTATGCTGATGATTCTCAACTCTTCTCATCCAGCCTTAGTTTCTCTGCTGACCTCCAGCCTCACATCTCCAAAGAAATGTCTAGTAGACCTCTTAAACACAGTATGTCCAAAATTGAACTCATTATCTGTCCTCCTGAGCCCTCCACCCCTCACTTCCCTGTTACTATAGAGGGCACCTTCCTTATCCTCATGTCTAAAATTGAACTCATTATCTGTCCTCCTGAGCCCTCCACCCCTCACTTCCCTGTTACTATAGAGGGCACCTTCCTTATCCTCAAGCTCACATCCTCAGTCACCTCTCCCCCATATCCAATATGTTGCCAAGGCTTGTTAATTTCACTTTTGCAACATCTCTTTAATATACTCCCTTCTCTCCTCTGACACTGCCCCAACTCTGGTGCAGGCCTTCATCACTTCACACCTGGATTACTACAATAGCCGGCCTGTGGGTCTGCCTGCCATGTCTCTTTGCACTCCAGCCCATCCTCCATTCAGTTGCCAGAGTGATCTTCCAGGTCTGACCATATCACCCCGCCCCCCCCCAATTCAATAAACTCTGTTAACACCCTAGCACCTACAGGATCAAATACAAAATTCCCTAGCACTCAAAGCCCTTCATAATCACCACCACCACCCCAACCATTCCAATCTTCTTACTTATGCTCCTCCCCCTCCTCCTCATCCACAAAGCCTTCCATCTACTGATGCTGACCTCTTTTGCTATTCTCACATAAGACACTCTGGGCATTTTCAGTGGCTATCCCTGGAATACTTTCCTCTCATTTCTATCTCCTGGCTCTCCTGGCTTCCTTCATGTCCCAACTAAAATTCTACCTTCTGTGAGAAGCCTTTCCTGATCCCACTTAATTCTAATGCCTTCTTTCTGTTGACTATTCTCAACTTTTCCTGTCTATAGCTTACTTGTTCATAGTTATTTGTATGTTGCCTCAAGGTTCCATTAGACTGCCAGTTCCTTGAGAGGAGAGTCTGCTATTTTGTTGTTTTTTTAAAAATCCCAGCACTTAGTACAATACCTGGCACATAATAGGTGTTTAACAAATGTTTAATGATGTAAAGACATATCTAAAGAGTATCTTCCTCTTCAGTTTTGTACTGATCATCCTCCATGAGTGACAGATTCCTTTGCACTCCATTTTATCTAACTATAACTCACTTGATATTAATAATCAGAGGAATCAAAGACATTTCTT